ATGGAGTTTCATTCTTGTTGCCCAGGCTAGAGTGCAATGGTGTGATCTCGGCTCACCAGAACTTCCGCCTCCTGGGTTCAAGCGATTTTCCTGCCTCAGCCTCCCAAGTAGCTGGGATTACAGGCATGCACCACCATGCCTGGCTAATTTTGTATTTTTAATAGAGATGGGGTTTCTCCATGTTGCTCAGGGTGGTCTCGAATCTCAAACTCTGGTGATTCAGGAATCCTCCTGAAGGCTGGAATTACAGGCGTGAGCCACTGCACCTGGACTTTTTTTTCCTTTTTTTTTTTTTTTTTTTAGTAGAGACGGGGTTTTGCCATGTTGGCCAGGCTGGTATCAAACTCCCGACCTCAACCAATTCCCCCACCTCAGCCTCTGAAAGTGTTGGGATTACGGGAGCCAGCCACCGCACCCGGCCTACAGGAAGAACTTTAATGCCCACTTTCTCAATGTTATTGGGGAAACTGCTGTGTTTTGGGGGGTCAGGGGAGGTAACTTCTAAAGTGCTTCCAGGTTCTGAAGAAGCTGGTGTGTGAAACAGCACTGAGTGCATCATCTGCCATATTACATGCTGAAAAGCGAGAGTGGGGCTTGGGGAATAATGGGTATGAATTTTTGTGTGACTTGTTTGTGGAGTAGGACCAGGACCTACACAGTGTAGGTACTTAGGGAATTTGTGTAATCAAGAGTTTGTTATAATTCTAAAATTCTCAAAAATAGGTGAATATTAAATTCATTTTCCTGATGTTGCTTATTCATTAACAATTGACTAGCCAGGCGTGGTGGCTCATGCCTGTAATCCCAGCACTTTGGGAAGTTGAGGCAGGTGGATCACGAGATCAAGAGTTCAAGACCAGCCTGGCCAACATAGTGAAACTGTGTCTTTACTAAAAATACAAAAAATTAGCTGAACGTGGTGGCAGGCACCTGTAACCCCAACTACTCAAGAGGGTGAAACAGGAGAATCACTTGAACCCAGGAGCTGGAGGTTGTAATGAGCTGAGAGTACACCACTGCACTCCAGCCCAGCTGACAATATGAGACTCCGTCTCAAAACAAAACAATTGACTAAGATTCTGTCCTCAGAGGTTTAGAGCTTTTGGGCTGGGCACAGTGGCTCAAGCGTGTAATCCCAGCACTTTTGGAGGCCAAGGTGGGAGGATCACTTGAGGTCAGGAGTTTGAGACCAGCCTGGTCAACATGGTGAAACCCCATCTCCACTAAAAATTCAAAATTTAGCCATGCCTGTAATCCCAGCTACTCAGAAGGCTGAGGCAGGAGGATTGCTTGAATCTGGGAGGCAGAGGTTGCAGTGAGCTGAGATGGCACCACTGCACTCCAGCCTGGGCAACAGAGTGAGACTGTCTCTAAAAAAAAAAAAAAAAATTTTTTTTAAGTTAAAGATTTTGGCAGTATTCGGCTGAAACAGGAGCTCATCCAGGCTTTAAGGGCCAAATGTAGAATATAAATTTCCATCTAGATGCTTAATCATCCTTCCTTTCAGCAAGTCATAATCTTCCTGCAACCTACTCTAAAGAGCCAAAGTCGCGGAAGGTTGCTGTTAGCAGTCTGTGCTGGTATAATTGGGTTTTAAAAGGTATCCTCCAAAGTGTTCTTGCAAGATAACTATTTGAAACATTTTTATTCCATGATAGTAGGTTTGGAAAGTGACTACTACCCTAGCACTATGAACATAATTCATGCCAGGAACATTTTCTAAGAAAGACATGAAGTCTAACAGTAGAGAGGAACATAGAAGTATCAGAAATAAGGAGGGAGATCTAGTGAGGTGTAAGAGGGAGGAGAAAGACAAGCTTTTCTATTTTGAGCTCTTGTATCTTTTGTTTTCTTTCTTTTTTTATGGATATATAATTCACGTTCCAAAAATTCACCCTTGTAAAGTGTACAATTCACTAGCATTTGGATATTCACGAGGTAGTATAACCATCACAACTACATAATCCCAGAACATCCTCATCACCCTAAAATGAAATCCTGTACCCGTTGAGAAGCAGTCACTCCCCATTTCCCACTCTCCCACCAGACCCTACCATTCATTAATATGCTTCTTTGTGTCTATGGTTTCATCTATTCTGGACATTTTGTGTAAGTGGATTCATTCACTATACGATTCTTTCTGACTAGCTCCTTTTGCTTTAGCATGATGTTTTCTTCTTTTCTTTTTTTTAAATTATACTTTAAGTTCTGGGGTGCATGTGCAGATTGTGCAAGATTGTTACATAGGTATACATATGCCACATGGTTTGCTGCCTCTATCCCCTCGTCACCTACATTAGGTATTTCTCCTAATGTTATCCCTCCCCAATCCCCAAACCCTCTGCTATCCCTCCCCTAATCCCCCCACCCCCCAACAGGTCCCAGTGTGTAATGTTCCCCTCCCTGTGTGTATGTGTTCTCATTGTTCAATATCCACTTACAAGTGACAACATAGCATAATGTTTTCAAAGTTTATCTGTACTGTAGCATGTATCAATGTTTCATTTCTTGTCATGGTGAAAAGCATCTCACTGTATGGATAGACCACATTCCAAATTTGCTTATTCATTCCTTTTTTTTTTTTTTTTTTTTTTT